GATCCAAATGACATTGCCATCTGCACTAGCTCCAGCTAAATCCCAAACACCACCTGGAATGAAAAGGGATCAGACTTTAACAGCAGCAGCAACAGTTCCAACTCATACCAACTAACTTCTATTTTATCCAAAAGGACAGTTATCATCTTTGATGCCATCTAAGAGACTGTCAAACAAGGGAGGTTTTCCTTCTAAAACTCTCTCCAGCTAAAGAGAACAGGAATATGCAATGTTGTTAAAATAAAAGCCTTACTTAATACTTTACATTTCAAATTCTTTAATTGTTTTTCTTTCCTGTATCTTTAATAAAAGGTTAAAGGGATTTCTTATGGTGTGTTTGCCATAGTACTCAGCAGGCTAAGGTCTCCGTATGCCAAACCTTGTTTAACTCTGTTAAATGCTGAATTGTAACTGAGTTAGACTAGATAGGCCAAAGGTGCTAGCATATCTCCTTAAGCCTCTTGTCACCAGTGTGGAGCCTCTCTGCATCATCCATCAACTCCATTGCTGCTAGTGTGGGGCCCCATCCCACGCCTCCTACTCTGGTTTTCCCCTAGAAATAACCAGAGTTGGCTGTGTAGCCAGGGATTAGTCTAGAGTGCAAAGTGCACCTGTCACACAGAACAGAGTCTTTATTTAGGCAGCTACTTAGAGTTAATTAAGAAGATCAGAGTGGTGAAGCACACACAGAAACTTTGAGCCTTAGTTAATACAGACCAATATAATTGAAATAATAGGAAAAAATATACATAAGAATAAGATAAGAACAGTAAAGGGGTTTCCTGCATTGTTCATACTTAAAATTTTACATTGTGCATACTTACAACCTTATGGAGACCATCTGACGCAAGCAGGGAAAAACAGTCAGTGGAGCATGCCACAAGAGGAAGGTGCTGGACTGACTGCCCTATGTTATCATCCCAGTGTCCCAACTAGGGATGGGTTTGATAACCTTGCCGCCCCCCTCAGAACCTCCAACCCTCCCCCCGCTCCTTGTCCCCTGACTACCTCTCCTGGGACCCCTGCTCTTAACTGCCCTCCAGAACCCCACCCCCTA